AAAGAAAAAAAAAATGAAGATCTTAGGGCTCCCATGCCATGTGTATAATATTTTATTCGCAAACTACCACATGGGGGAGGACACACCGGTGGTTCGACTTAAGCTACGACATATTGCGGGGACACGCTGAAGCCAGGCGCCAACTAGCTGTGAATATATTTTACGCTGCAACTAAGAGTCCATTTGGAGCCGACTCGGGTAATAGCAGCTGGCACCAGCGCAGACGTGTAAATTATGGCCGCTGATAATCATCTCGTGACTTGCCTGGACAATACAATTCGGTTATACAATAAGGGCAACACTATGCACTGTGTGGGTGGAATCTTAATCCACGCTACGATTGAGGGCTCCGGCACGGTGCACTTACCTGTGTATATACACAGTATACGTTCTAGTTCGAGCAACAGCCAGGTGTTGCCGTTGCCGTTACACAATTAGCAGTCTTCGCGTCGTCTGGATCTGGCAGTGACTGTTCAGCAAATTGATGGCTAGCGATTCGTGAAGTTGTTGGCATAAGCAAAGACGCCAGTGCCTTCTGATAAATTCTTCATGTGTATATTAATACAAAAATATATAATTTGAAAAAATATAAATGCGTATATAGAAGATTAATTGGATGAGAGTGAAGACACTTTCAAAGTACAAACATTTCTTGGCTACAAATTAATTCAAAATGTGATAACGTACAACTAAAAATATGTCTCATTTCTCATAATTAAATTTAAGTTATATCATATACATATCACTTTGTCTCTAAGTCTATTTTCATTAATAATTGCGTCCCATGAAAAGCGCAAATTCTTTGAATTTGTTGTTTATTTTGCTATAATTCTAATTCGTCATTATTCTTCCTAGTTCTTTTCTAGAAGTGTAGTTCATTTTAATTATAGATATTGGCGCCAACCATCATTCACACGTATCACTAGAAAACTGACGACAATTGCTGGTGTAGCGTAGACAAGCCGTCAGCTGGCGGCATCTGGTTTGTCTGGGCTCATGCCTGCCTCAGCCATGTACAAATCAAGAATTGAACTTATGCAAATAGAAATATTCCCAAGAAAAAGGACTTCAGATCAATTTGTGTTATGTGAGCCAAATGGGTCTTCTATATTTTACTTTAGTTGCCTCCTGATGCAGTCCTGAAATTTTCATTTCACACAAACGTTAACATTTGTAGACCCATCACCCCTATTCGTAGTCATCATTAGCTCCTATAGATGCTTTATAGCAACCTTGACTAACTACATATAATGGTAGATTCTAAAGAAAGTAGCAGAAGTTGCCCTCATTCGATGTTGCCTTGGTCAACAATTGGTTAGCGACGATTGTTTCTGTTGGCCCAAGTCCATTCTATACCCTGCACTCGTTAAACGGATCCTAAAGTGCAGAATGCAAGTAATGCACATTATAAGTACACATAATAAATACATATAATGTACTTTAGGTAGCAACTAATTTTCAACTAAACCAATTCGATCAACAGAATTTGAGTGATTTCAGCGACCTAGTTTATGCCGTACAAACCGACTGGTTCAATGGTCAGATTCATGACATAGGGTAGTAACAAGTCGATTGTGACTGCAAGAGTAATCTCATTTGTTTTATTTTAGGAACCTCACTTGTGCATTGCTCGCGGGCGCCAACGGTTCGTGCGTTCCGATGCACAGAGCCAATTCTGTCCCCACCGCTGTCTAGCCCCTGCCCAGACTGTTTTGACTTGGCGTGCAATTTAGCGTCAGTATGCAAATAATTTGCTTTTGCGTTGTTTTTAACTAAGCGACGCCAGCTGTTGGCTCTCCATATATTCGCGCATACGACCATATGTACGTTTGTATTTATGTTCATACACACATACACACATATGTATATATATGTTCATGTGTCTTGCGCGTAAATATTCTTCTGCAATTGAATGTTATTGCTGTAAATAAAAACTCTCTCTCTCTCTCTCTTTTTTTCAAAAACTTTACTAAGACAACAACCTCTTTTTGATTATTTTTAATTACAAACGACAAACGGATTTTATAACTCATATGGCAACAAAGAAAGCCACAAAAAAAGCGATAACTAAAATCCCACGTTTAGTGCTACCTACATGTGATATCGTCATTATCGTCATCATCACCATCTTAGGATGGATAAAAAATAAGCCGTCAACACCTGGAAGACGCAACGCCAAATGTTGTTAATTGCTATAGCTTTAAATAGATCAATCAACAATGGATCTATTTTTAATCCACATTTCGCTAATATTTGTGCGAAACTGTCTCGTCTATAACTATTTGCTGGATCAACTTTAACCGCAACATGTGATCCCACATTCTCCGTGTTGTTTTAACTGTTTACCCAAATGTTAATTTTTAGAGTTCACAGTGAAATCACTTTAAGTATTTTAAAGATTTCTGGACTATACATTTCGATACTGGTACTGCAAATACTCCAATAATGTGAAACAAGATTTATTAAAATACATAAGAAGCGCCGTTCGAATACAATGTAATCATGCACAGTTTCTATACCCTGAACCCATTGAAAATGGGATATCAGGGTATAGTGGTTTTGTTGAAATGTATATAACAGCCAGAAGAAGGCGTGGCAGACCCCATAAAGCCCTGTCCGTCTGTCTGTCTGAAAGTTTAATACATATACTATCCATCGGGTGTCATATCATTCAGCTTCTGTCATGCAGTCTCAGAGCAGAAGACGCTAGAAGACCAGAATTAAGAACATATATATTACTAAATTAAGAGCATTTATATTTCATGAGCAATGTTTCTATAAGCTTCATACTATGCAGCCTTTGGTATTGATGTACTTTGCATTGAGTCTTGTAGCATTCAGTTCTGTCAAGCAGCCGCCCTAACCCAAGTTTCAAGATTCACATTCACTAGAAGAGTTAAGCACGGTTTTTTAATCATACATAGTGCTATGTCTTTTATTTAAGGAGCAAATCCTGATCAATATTCCCACAAATTTCATAGATCCACCTATCGAGTGTAATATCATACAGCTTCTGTCATGCAGCCTCGGAGCATTTAGCTTCTATCGCTATCACGGTTTCTTAATCATACATAGTGCTATGTCTTTTATTTAAGGAGCAAATTCTGATCAATATTCCCAAAAATATCATAGATCCACCTATCGAGTGTCATATCATTCAGCTTCTGTCATGCAGCCTCAGAGCATTTAGCTTCTACCAAAAGTTCGCTAGAATACCAAAATTAAGAGCATTTATATTACTAAGTTAAGAGCATTTATATTTCATGAGCAGTTTTTATAA